GCTGAACTTTCCTCCCTCCTGCTGTTGCCCTGAAAGAATGAGGAAGGGACGGTGCTGGCTCCTGAAGTTTGGTTTGTTCTCGTTTGCCTGGTTTGTAAACGCTTCGGCATCTCCGGAGGCTGTTGTGTGTCTCTCTCTTCTTGTTAAACGAAGCTGCGTGGCATATAACATTAGTTTACAGATTTTGTTTTTGCTGGTTTCATTCCCATAGCTTCTAAATGTTTATTCAAGGTACCTACCTTTTTTTTTTTTTTAAAACTGATTCTTTCCCTCCGTACTGACAAGCAAGACCCCCATGAAGGGTTATCGTTTATCATATTTATAAAACATTTTGTCTTCTGTCAATTTCAAACCAAATAATCGCCTTCCATTAGACTTGGTCTCTAAGAAGAAGTGGGGAACTTAATAGTAATGACTGTAAGAACATGATTAACTACTCACTGCTTTTATATCTAGCAGCATGAAAGAGAAAGGAGGTGGTGTTAACACCTTTTGAGTTTTATTAGGAGCCTTCCATATTAATAATCTGTGTATATTCACAGCATTTAACTAAAACATGGAATTTGGCAACTGGATAATTTCCACTTAAAGAAGATGGAGTGACTCTTTTACAGGTCAGTGGAGGAAGAGTTCATGAATAGAGCCACCAAGAGATAACTTGCTTCAGAATGATCAAGTCTCTTTCCTTACAGACTAAATCACACATTTCTACATATTGGAGGTGCTAATATAGCTTTCCCTTTGGGATCTCCTTCACAACTTGCTGTAGTCCTTTTTACACCTCAGTGCAAATGTTTTCTAATGAAGCCTTTGAATAATCCAAAGACAAGTTATCAGCACGCTAAGGATTTGCTTATAGAAGTCTGTGTAGATAAGCTCAATAAATATTTCAGGCTAGGTTATACTGCCTCTGATTTCTCAGAATTCACCTATTGTTGTAGAGCCTGTGGTTTTGAAGCATCAGAAAATGAGGTAGTGGCACTCTCCTTGGTCCTTTAGTATTGGAAATAAATGGAAAAATCAGCTTTGTCTGGTAAAGAAGCTGTAGAGCACGTTTGCCTGAATTGTGGTGTCCAAGCTAAGTTTAGCTGTGTTTTCAGAGCATGAGCTGCGTATTTGGTGGTTGCAGTTCATTTCTCCATAGAAAGGATAATAAGTTAGCAATTTTTTCCCCTGAAATCCCTAGGTTGGTGGAGGACTCTGGAGCTCATAATAGTTATCGACATCTTGAGGAATAAGAAAAGTTCTGTTGAGTTACATTTCTGATCCTCATGTTTTTCCCTTTCTTTCATAAAAAGTAACACCCATGCTGAGGGTTAGAAAACCTGAAAGAAGCATTGCACTATTTATAAAAGTTGATCAGTAAAGTTTCTCTGAGCCTTGAAGTGCCTTTTTTTTTTTTTTTTTTTTTAATAGGATTAGAGCCTGAAACAGAATGTGTTTCAACGCTTGGAAGCTGTGGTATAGTACTTATTAACCTGAATGAATTGGGCAATCTCTTTTTTTATAAATTAAAAAACATATGGTGGTTTCTCTCAATTTCAGCCCAAGTTTTGTGGAGAGGATGAGCATGATCTCTTGATCATCAGCAAGGCATTTTACCCATAGTCAAGCGTGTGGGTAATTGCTGAGGACTTTACTGGGCTGCTGGTGGTGTTTGCAGCCCCTTACTTCAGGAAATACTGGCATCTGTAAAATGTGCTTTTTTTTTCCTACCTGTTGACATTACACCCGAGCTGACTTTCCAATGCTAAAAGCAACTTGTTGATATGAGGGCATGATACTTTTTTTTTTTTTTTTAACTAAAACCTTTTAAACTGCTTTCTGAAACTTCACTTGGAAATAATTTAAAGGTTGTTTACATTTCATAAAGACCACAGAATCTATTTGTTTGTCTGGAGGAGTGCCAGAAAAGGCACGACTGAAGGAAAAATTTCCATGTTTTAATGTGCAGAAAAAAGTTTCAAGGTTTTTTGTAGATTTGTCAATATTCGAGTAAAGCTAAAACTCCCAAAACTTTTGTCCAAGGTAAATGTATGAGATTCTGCTCCAGTGTTTCTTCTGCGTGGGAGGAGGTGGTATTGTAGGAAAAATAAATTGTACGTCAGTAGGCTGATACTATCTGCAGGATTAAAATTAGCATTTATGAGATAGTATCTGTATTAGAAACGTTACAGTTGTAAGCTCTTGTCTGCTCATGGTGGTAGAGCTCTACCTTCACCTCTGAAGCCTTCCTTGGCTTGTTCTTTAGGTTGCATAGCAGTATTGTGACCAAAGTAATCTTTCTTGTTTATCTGCATTTCCACGCCCACTTCCTCCTGGGATACTTGCACTTTATTCTTTTTACTTCAGGGACACAGGGCCTCCTCTGCCTGCTCCATCTGTTAGCCTGCTCACCAAAGGTGCTGTGTACTCTTTCACTCTTAGCTGTTCTCTGGCTTTCCTGCCCCTGCTTCTTCCTCAGCTGTTCCTAAACAAATGTAAACATAACGTTGTTCTGAGCATAGTGGATAAACCTGGATAATTTTTGTACTCAGCTTCTCACATGAAATTTCAAGGATTGCTTAATGATACTGGATTTTGCATTTGCTCTTAAGACCAAAATTGTGTACTTTGCAATTGTTCTTTCTGAATAGAATAATGCACTAGATGGCTTTTTAAACCCCATGGCTTTTTAAGCTCCTCAGGGCCCTGCATTGAATCTGAGATGCTTTTAAGGTTGGATCTGTTGTGGAGAAGTGAATGGCAGTTTACCAGATCTGTTGCTGTGGGGTAATTTCCCATGAGAAGGGAGAGTGTAAATGCTGTCATTACTTCCTGTTGACCTGAAACCACATGTGTATGCCTCTGAAATCCAGTTATGAGAACTGATGTAAGGAGAAAAGTACTTAGGTTAGAACTGTCCTTTCCGTCCTCCAACATAAGTATGTATTGCTTTTTACCATTGAGAGCATATTTAAGTGTTGTTTGTGTTGCATCTTCATTTATATAGAAGCCATTGTTTAGTTTCTGTGACTTGGCTGTAGGTAGATGAAAGACCATTTATGCGCCGCTGTCAAAATATTCTTGTTTCCCCTTTTCTAGAGGCTTGCTCTAGAGGACTTGTGACTTTAAAGAAAAAGTGGTTACAGATGATGCTGCATTGTTACATGAAGAATACACAGGAAGAGCCTTGATGTTTGCGCAGTGGTGATAATACCTGCTGGGTAATACATAAATAGATCAGTTTCTAGATGGCTCTTAGATGAGGCTGAAAAGCCTCATCTGTTGACTTTAAGCTATGGATGTTGGCCTTTTGAAAACTGAGACTGATTTTTAGTTCAGGGCATTTTATGAAAGTTTAAAGGGAGGGTATGAAAGATGGCTACTCAGTGGGATAGTCCAGAGTAGCAGAAATTGATGTTCCTGTTTTCTAATGCCATGGAAAATCACAATGTGTGATAAGATTCTGGAGGGAAAGGAAAAAGAGCTTGTGTATAGTGTTTGATTTTTGTTTAAGTGGGATAAAAGTGGGAACAATTAGTAAACTTACTCTACTGTGGAAATCCTCATCCTGCAAAGCACATATAGCAAGCCACCATTTTTTGACGTGAAGCCACAGCAGTCAAAGCAGTGTCTGTCGTAAATACTCCTTTCTAACAAACTCCTTGCTGTAGTAAATTTCTGTGCTGCCCTAAGCATAATTACAAAGATGTATGTGATGTATTGGAGACTAGATGATGTTTAATGATTCAATGAATAAGTCAAATCTAACGTTTTGAATCTATGGTCGTGTTTTCAGGTGGATAGCTTTTGTATTATTTCTTTGCCTTCCTCTTGGTGTGTCTGATTTAATAATTATCTCAGCTGCTATGGAAACACTTCAAGATAAGGATAGTAAATGTTCTTCAATACCCTTTTTTAATCTCAGTAGTTTTCAATACATTGTATTCTTTTCTTGTTGGAGTAACGTAAACATAACAAAACTTTTTAGCTGGCCTGTATGCTTATATCAAAGTAAATGCTAAATTAATTCTGGAGTAGTCATCTCTATCTCACAGTTATTAGTCATTGTATCTGACTTTATAAAGTTGTAAATATTGGGAGAGGAAAACAGTTCAGTTTTTCGTTTCTTGACATCACAAATGATTTCTTAGTGACATTTCATAAACACAAACTGTAGAGAAATATGCTAGTATGCAAGAAGACAATAACTTCAGAAGAATAACTTTCAAGTTATTCTTGGGAGTATCCTAACTGAGGAGTTACCCCCCTCCTCCCACAAACCCAAATACATACATGCACAGACACATATATATATGTGCATGTATACATGCACGTTTTTAAAAGAATAGCAGGAAGGAACAGAATTTTTTATTGTTAATTCCTTAAAACTGTTATCACTTAAATTGGCTATGTACCTTCTTTATGTAGAAGTTACCTTTTGACAACTTAAAATTAGAATACTTACTGGAGAATATTTGGAATATTTGGAAAATGGACTGGAAGGGAGTTGAGTTCCTGTGTTCATTAAGTGCTGTGGGCACCACCAGCTCCTAAAATCCCCTTCCTAAACTGATTAAGCTCAGTTTTTAGTAGTTAGGTATTTTGCTTCTGCCACTTGTGTTGAAATGCCTTTTCATTACCTTATTGCTCTGATCAGGTAACTGTAGTCAGGAGCTTGTGTGTTGTCTTCTGGCAGCAGTCTTTAATTACCTTGTGTGGGTACCGTGTACTTTGAATCATTGCTCTATATACTGAATGTACGTGAAAAGCATTCATAGTGGAATTACATGATAAAATATAGGGACATCTGCAGCCCCAGTGAGACAGGGATGGGACAGGGTATGCCTATGTGACTGCAGCTGAGCTTCAGAAATGTATGATGTGTTAAGCTCTTGAGAGGGAACAGGGAATTTTGGCCCTTAACGTGTTCACCAATTATCCTCAATAAATCCTCAGCAGATTTAAAAAAAACATTTTGACAATATATAGTAAAATAGAGATACAATAAGCAGTTTTTTTAGGCATATGTTAGCTAAATTCTACTTGTGAGTTCCATTAGTTATTCATGGAAGCCAATACCATTTTTTTCAGTCTTGTACAGATAG